CTTTGTCCAGTCAGCCTAGGATAGTAGGAAATTTTGTCTATTGTTGTATTTTTCCCTTCCCTTCCCTTCTAGGGTTAGGTAATGATAATAGGATAGGAAAGTGATCACTTCCGTAAGAATGAGGCAAAACTTGCCAGTTAAGTCCCGCAGTAAGGCTAGCCGAGCATAAAGTTAGATCAACAGCACTTTTAGGGTTTTGACATGGCGCTACCCGTCGAGTTGCCGTGCCATCGTTTAAAATACATAAATGAAGGTCATCAATTATATCTAAAAATGTAGATGAAAGTGGGTCAGAGGTATGGCAACCCCATGCTTCATTATGAATATTAAAATCACCCATGATTATCCATGGTTTTTCAATGTTCTTAATAATAGACAATATTTGTAACAGTATGGTTAAACTAGGATGTGGGATGTACAGCGAAATAAAATAAATGTTCATGGCTCGAACAGCCACTATATTAAAATTATCATTATTATGTGGAGGGAGAACTATAGGATCAAAAGGATAATTTCTTAGAATAATCAATGCTGATCCACCTTTGCTATCACTCCTGTCATGCCGGAGAGAAGCATAGCCTGAAATTCTATAACGGACTCCAGGCCCAAGCCATGTCTCCTGGATGGCAAAAATTACTGGCTTATGGCAGTTTATGAGATGTATTATATTTTTTATATTTAATACGCCTGCAGTTCCACTGGAGTAGTGGGGTGAATGTTAGCGTTGTAAGATGATAGCTCAGTAAGTTTTTGTCTAATATTGTACGGTAACTCTATATCATTGAATCTTTGGATGAAATTAATAAGTGTTGACAATTGTAAAAATAGCATTTCAATTAAGTTATCATTTGGTGTATTATTAGCCGAGAGATTATTTTCAATAGCATATCCATTTGGCTGGGATGAGGAGGGGAACAAATTATATTATTGTGTGAATGTCTATCATAGCCTGGACTGGAAGCAGGGCAGGGGCTATGACGAGAAGTTACAACAGTTTTACGGTATGAAGTAGTAGAAGGCCTAGTGAGTGGATTGTGCTGTGAGACTATAATCGGTGAGTTAGTTCTGGTGGCATCTGCAAACGACCTTCGTACAGAGGCGAATCTAGCTGACGCTTCCGCATATGACAGGTTTTCTTGGGACATCACCAATTTTATCAATTTTTGTCTTTCGTGTTCAGGACAGGAATTATGAGTGGCATGATGATTGCCAGAACATAAAATACATTTGGGGGGTGCCTGGCTCAAGCAGCTTTGTCCATCATGCATATCACCACATTTAAAGCAGCGAGGTCTGGACCGACATTGTGATTTTACATGTCCAAATCTGCAGCAGCTATTACACTGAATTACTGGCAGTCTATAAATTTCTACAGGTATAGAAGTGTAATAGCAATAAATATGGTCAGGTAGTTTTTTTCCAGTAAAAGTTACCACAACAGTCTGGGTTGGGATCCAAGTTGGGGCAGAGTCCCATATTATGGATTTTCGGTGTAATCGCCTAGCTCGAAAAACTTTTCCAAACCCTGAAGGAACTTGAATATTATTAACTAATTCTTCCATAGAAAGAATTAGCATCGGCTGCTGACTTAAATTGAATTGATACGCGATTACGGCCTACCCTCTTTACCCCATCTACTGTGATGTTTTTAATGTTGTTAGCATGTAAGAATTTCCAAAAATTTATAGCACGCAGGACAGCTCCCTGCGAGGGATCCATTTCTTTTTTCGAGACGTGAACTAAGTATAAAGGGACCTACATCCTCATCGGCATAGTTATTTTTGCTATCAGCAAAATCTGGTAGAATGTAGGTAGTTTGGGCAGATGCTACTACTTGAGCAGATGTGGTTTTTTTTGGCGGAATAGGGTTAATATTACTATTTTGAGTACGTTTTCTATTTAGACCGCTTAAATTATTTTGGGTTTGTGAGGGGAATAAATCTTGAGATGCGGCCGAACGCCCACCGGGATCCGGGGGGTCGGTGTCCATAATTGTAATTAGGTTAAGAAATGGTGATAAATCTTACCGAATAAGCGTACAACACAAAACGGATACAACACAAAAACAAACAGACACAGAGAACAAGTAAAAGTAACTGAACAGTGGCTTATAAGTGAGAAAAATACAAATTTAACAGGGACACTTGTATCTCGCACTCAACCTAAAAGCAGAGTCCAATGCAAAATTTTCTCGTTATTTCGCTATAAATCTTCCAATTTATGCATTTGACGAAAAAAACTAAACATTAATTTACTGTATCTTAGTTCATATTTGTCATAGAAAAATTATAAAAAACGCATTGTTTTCGTTTTTTTAAAAGCTACTATTTGTCTCTCTACACGTTATTTGATAAAATACATATTTTTAGAGTTATTCGCAAAATACCATTGAAAAAAGTCGATTTTTACGTCAATAATGTTACTTTCAACTTTGAATAATTCAAAAATATTAGTATTACGAAAAAAACGTATATAACATTTTTTTCTTAGAATTAGTTTTTCCGTCGATTCCTACAGTTAAAATGTAAAAAAAAATTCACCCCCCGAAATGGGGTGGCAACCACCCCCAATGCTCTAGCGTACAGCGGCATGATATAGAAAATGATCCTTGAGCTGTTTACTACCTTTTGTGAAAATTTCAAGTAAATCCATAGTGGACGAAAAAATTGCGAGCCAAAATGCTTCATTTCCTGGACTAAAGTATAATAAGCATTTACAAAAAAAGCAAGAGATAGAGACATAGTATGCTTATTATTCTATGGGTTAAATTTCTTCTACATATATCTTATTTTCGAGGAGGAAATCGTCGAGAGCCAAACCCCGATTTTTTTACGCAATTTTCAGCATTAACTACTGTTGTCCCTATCGCACGGTATTTGTCAATGCGTGACAGTAATGGTTCTTTTTAAATACCTATTTCTGAAGTCTCTCAGGTCGCGTCCGCTCTAAACACAGCTGTGCAGTTATGTTAATCATTAGTAGGTCTATTGTGTTAATAAATCGAACGGGAAACCCCATACTAATATATTATAAATACGAAAATGTACCCGTCCGTCTGTTACCTCTTCACGCTTTAACCGGTGAACCAATATATATGAAATTTGGTATAGAGATAGTCTCGGGAAATAATCCTTAACGATGGTGAAAAGTGGGGTGGAAGTTTGTATGGGAAACCAACAATATTAAATACCCTAGATATACCACGTCCACTCAAAATGTGTCCCAATCAAGAAGTGCTTGAACTCCACTCAAGCACTTCTTGGTTCACAGTCACGCGTGGACCGTTGAAGAGTCAAGATGCCCGTGAAAAAATGTGAAAAACGTACGTGAAGTGTCGTTTTTTTTCAACAGGTATCTAATAGTCGGATAGCCGACTGCATAAAAGTCCTATGGATCAGATACATGAATCATTTTTGGGGTATGAACAATAAAGCCATAGGTCTAGAGGTCTACACACCCCTGAAGTTGCTTGATTTTGCCCGCATGCAAAATAAGGACGTCACTTCCGGTTTTTATTTTAGGTGTAATTATAATTTATAAAATACATCAAGGAAATGTACATCAAACGATAGTTTTTGATGAGTAGAATAGAAATGTCAAGGGTTGACAAGATCTATTTATTCGCTACCCTGAGTCGATCACCATTAAAAAATTTTTTTTTTTTTTATTTATCTTAAGTCATCGAATACATGTTTGTGTTTGCTTACAATTTTCTGAAACTAGAACCTCTTAAATGACTGAAAAAAAATTGGTGGACACCTTTTATTTGCCCGGACCTGACCGTCGACTTAGTTTGAAGAATTATAGAGCCTATTCTCTATGTATATTAAATTATTTATCTGCATATCTTTTTCAAATACATTTTTTTTCCCCATTTATTCTTTGACTCTAACATAACTAAAAAAATCAACTTAGTTTAAAACATCAACATTATTGATTTTTCAAACTAAGTCGATAGTCAGATCCGAGCAAATATAAGGTGTCGACTAATTTTTTTGAGACATTTGAGAGCTTCTAGTTTCAGAAAATCGTAAACAAATCCATGTTATCGATGACTTAAGATAAATTAAAAAATATATATTTTTAATGGTGGTCGAATCAGGGTAGCGAATAACTAGATCTTGTCGACCCTTGACATTTCTATTCTACTCATCAACAACTATCGTTTGATATACATTTTCTTGATGTATTTGATAAATTACAATTATTCCTAAAATAAAAACCGGAAGTGACGTCATAATTTTGCATGCGGGCAAAATCAAGCAACTTCAGGGGTGTCGACCACTAGACCTATATTATTATTATGCTTTATTGTTCATACCCCAAAAATGATTCATGTATCTGATCCATAGGACATATCCGTAGGATACAGATCCATAGGATATTTTATACAGCCGGCTCTCGGACTATAATCAATGTTTGTTAATTTAACGCATTTGAAGCAAATTCTGTTCTAATACTTACTATAAACTGATTTAACGAAAAATATTTGTGATATTCAAATGCATGGTCGGTTATATAGCCGTCTCTTTTCCTCGCGGTCCGTACCTGCTGTGTTGCTAACAGCGCATTCAGAATAAAATTGCGCGTAGAGTCAAACAAATAATGTCTATATTCTTCCGCATATAACAATGTCGTAAAATACGAGCTTGCATTGCGAACTGTCATAACTCTTTGACGTATGCGTTTTAATTAAGACCTTAAACAGTATAGATTAAAGATGACTTTCAATTTTTAAATAATGCCTTATATTGTTTATGTCTACGTGATCATCTTACGGAGCTCCGTGGCTCGTCCAATGTACCTTTTACAGGTTTCGCCCACGATTTTGTTCGTGTTGTTGTATCTATGGTATTTAATATCGCTGTGGGAAACCAATTAAACCACTCAAAGTTGCAGACACTCGCTAGTAGTAAATAAATGAAAAAAAAAGTAAGATACTGCTGGGCAGGTTTATGGTTAAAAATTTGGGTACTTTAATAAAATCAAACAAAAGAAAATTCATATGACAGAACTATATTTCTTGTTGCAATATTCAACAAACAACAGATCTTTAGCAATAATAGAGGTTCATTAAGTAACAGGCATTACAATTTTCAAAAAATATCACATTCGTACAAAAAGGAATTTCCTTAAAGAAAACATTGAATAAAATGTTCGCCAAATTAAATTTATAGAGTTACAAAAATCTTCATAAAAAGTTCGCAGTGATGTACCAATACAGGTATATATTATAAAGATTTGGTAAACGATTAAGCTTGATAAGTTCAATAAGGCCACGATTCTTACAAAATCATTTTTATAAACTAGCACCGTTGATAAATATTTTTCAGTCGTTTTATTAACAAATATTCAAAAATATTATGTTGTAAAATTGGACGATAATTTCGATAATAATAGGAAAAAATAGTTTAATAAGTACTGAGAACGAATGTTTTATAGTACAATCTATTACGTAAATTTACTATAAATTATCAAGTAAATTATATAAAAATCTCACTTGTCATTTGTAAAAAAATCACATCTTTATTAATCATTCAATACATTCTACTCTTATTATATTCAACTAAGTATAATAAAAATTAACTAATACATTGACAAATTATTGTAAAGTTTTATTATTATTATCGATTCACATTAAGTAGGTACCGATCTAATTAATTCAATAATTAATGATTTGGTATATAATTAAATAAAAAGGGTAACTAAAAATAATTTTATGTTTGCAAGACAACAATGTTCCTTCATCACATTGTTGACCTTTATTTAAAAGGCAGAAGAACAATGGTCATTGTACATAAGACAGCTGCCGAATCAGACCTGCACCATAATTTGTTTTATTTTATAATCATATCATAGCGAGTAAAAATCAGTTTATTATGGGTATATTACTATATAGTTAGGTATATTACGGTATTATAATTTAAGCTTTACATAATTAACCTCATGTTAACAAAAACTGGCCATCTTCTGTAATCAAGTTTAAAAGGGGTTTTATTGAAATGGCACTGTTAAAAAGTCATTTTAAAATTATTTTACTATACAAAGAAATAAAGTACAAAAGGTAGCCTAACCTGACATTTTGTACAGCTACATTTTTTAGTTTTACAGTAATATGAGAGGAATCTAAGGGTAAAAGGGTTTATTAAGAAGGAAAGGCCGTTAAACCTGAACCCACAATCCCACAATTTGGAATAATCCAATAAATGTCAGACGTGGTGCTTGTTTGTTGCGGACGCTGTCTCGACCATAGAATTAATAAGAACTAAAACATTTTTATACCATAATAATTCAGTAATTTTTCGTGTACTACAATTAAGTACAAGTTTTCTAATAATAAGTACAAAATGAGCGAAACTTTATTGTACCAATATCATATTTTGATAAATATGACCAGAAATAATTATTTACGCATAATATTTTTGTTCCCATAATCGCCAATACTACAAACGCAGGAACACAAACACACAAACAAAAGTGGAAATGTTCAAGATCTGATCCATAGTAATTAATGCTACACATTAATGTAGCAAATTAAGCCTAACAACGCGGACATAAAGTGTCCTATTGTATAGATTCTTCCGCTCCTAACTATATATATTGTGACAGTAGGAACATCTACATAATTATTATAAATTAGATCCTAGGAACTAGTCTTATCATTGGGCGGATTCCGTTTTAGGTCGGCGCTTTTTCTCATACGCCTGAAATGGAAAAGAACAATGAGTTTTAAAGTAATCCTTGATACAATATATTGTTTTAACCTTTCATGGTCACTAACATTATAGTAATATTATAGTAACGGGATTGTTTCGATATCGAGAAAATATCGGAAACTCGCTAAAAACAAGGTACATAGTAAACGTACAATCCTGTAAATAACTTATATTACTCCGCCATGCTGCGTCCGGTCTGCTCGACCATGGGCACGTGTTAGACGCCTATTATTACACGCTCATGCAGCCGCGAGTCAATTCCAACAATCATGACATGAATTATCAAAAACCGAAACGATCACAGAGTAATTTGTTTGTCAAACGCATCAAACATAGGGTATGTTTGAAAACGATCAAATTAGTTTGACAAATACGTAATTTTTTACAAACAAATTTGATCGTTTATAGGGCTCTTAAAGTCTTCAGTCAAAACATTAGACAACGGGTTATCCATCTGTCATAGCTTTGACTGCCAGCATACTGCCAGCAGAATCTATCATCTAATAATGGTCGCATTACCTGTAGCGCTATACGGTCGAGTATCCGCCATGCTGTGTCCGGTCTGCTCGACCATGGCTCGTCGTACACAACTTTCACGTTGCAGTAGTTCGTGTGGAGATGTCAATTCTACCATCAGTCATAGCTTTGACTGCCCGCATACTGACAGCAAAATCTACCGGATAATGGTCGCATTACCTGTAGCGCTAACCGGGCGAGAGTATCCGCCATGCTGAGTTCGGTCTGCTCGACCATGGCTCGTACGTAGTACGCCGCCTTCACGCTGCAGTAGTTCGTGTGGCGATGTCAATTCTACCATCAGTCATAGCTTTGACTGCCCGCATACTGACAGCAAAATCTACCGGATAATGGTCGCATTACCTGTAGCGCTAACCGGGCGAGAGTATCCGCCATGCTGAGTTCGGTCTGCTCGACCATGGCTCGTACGTAGTACGCCGCCTTCACGCTGCAGTAGTTCGTGTGGCGATGTCAATTCTACCATCTGCCATAGCTTTGACTGCCCGCATACTGACAGCAAAATCTACCGGATAATGGTCGCATTACCTGTAGCGCTAACCGGGCGAGAGTATCCGCCATGCTGAGTTCGGTTTGCTCGACCATGGCTCGTACGTAGTACGCCGCCTTCACGCTGCAGTAGTTCGTGTGGCGATGTCAATTCTACCATCTACCATAGCTTTGACTGCCCGCATACTGACAGCAAAATCTACCGGATAATGGTCGCATTACCTGTAGCGCTATACGGGCGAGAGTATCTGCCATGCTGCGTCCGGTCTGCTCGACCATGGCTCGTAGTATGCCGCCCTCACGCTGCAGTAGTTCGTGTGGCGATGAAAATTCTACCATCTGCCCTGCATCCATCACTAACACCTGGCACCAAACAGGAACAGAAATATGTTATGTACAATGGACTTGTAAGAAGGTTTTGAGCAAATTAACCGCATCAGAATTGACTCTACAATTTTGCGTTAACTTCTCTTTAGCACTGTACTCACATTGTATATAAGTTAGCAGAGTGAGCTCTTAAGAATGATGCTTATATCAATATGAATGAATATAAATGAACAATTGTATATGGCTATGTAATTCAAGTTTATTATAACTAACCTTATCTGAATCCATAACTGTGTGTAATCGATGAGCAATTGTAAGCACTGTACAGTCTGCAAATTTATTCCTAATTGTCGTTTGGATCAGAGCATCGGTCCTGTGAAACAATATACATGTGTTTTAGTAAATAAGGAATAAATACGAATTAGGAATTTTGTGTGTATAAATAAACAAATAATTCCTAATCCTTTGGTCACAAAGGTTCTTTCGGAAAATAATTATTTTGGCGCTACAGCCGGGCTTTAGAAATACTTACATTTTCGTCGAGCAGGACAATATTCGTCCGTCTTATTAAAATATTAATCATTTATTACTTGTGACTTCGCCTGCGTGGTTTAAGTGGTTTCCCTTACAAACTTCCACCTCTTTATCACCCCCTTCAAGGATGATTTTTGCCCATGTTTGCGGTTACGGCGTATAAAGGCGCGCGCGAGGCACACTAACTGCCGCTGCCCCACGGAGAAGCGGCCCCTTCTCCGTGGGGCAGCGGCAGTTAGTGTGCCTGAGGAGCGGCCCCGAGGCCCCATAGAGACATGTATACTGACTGCGGGTCTACGTTCGCGGTGGCCTCGTCCAGCACGAGCAGTCGGTTGCGGCGTATGATGGCGCGCGCGAGGCACACTAACTGCCGCTGCCCCACGGAGAAGTTGCCGCCGCCTTCTGACATGCGCGAGCTGAGGCCGGCCGGTAACTCCATCACAGCTTCCTTTAACTCCACCTACATAAAAGAAAACGATATGATGGATATCATTAAATAAAAAGATGAATATTAACAAATCCACAAAAACCGGGCGATCCTCATATTATATAATCAACTACAAAAGGACATCAAATTTACTTTGCCACATAGAAACAGGTAACGAAAAAATAATCATCAGATTTGTCAAGAATGGACTGCCTAAATAACGAGGTCAATAGTTTTCATCAACAAAAGACGCTGTTAACAGCGTCTGTGAAGGTCTATTAAGAGGTTAAGCTCTGGAGTAGCATAAATATTGGCGTCGATTCTGACACGATTCTCTAAATCTAAATTTAAATTTGTCAACAGCGTATCCTTGTCATTCTCTTTACAGAGTGAAAAGGAGAGACTGATGTCAAATTAAGTTTTAAGTTTAGAGAATCCTTTTAATAATAAATGGCCGATCAAATTTCATTACAAATTCTTGACAGTCAGAAAAACACATTCCATTTCAACACATACCTCTTCCAATGCCCGCCACAGCACCTGGTCCGGGTACTCGTCGAAGGGGTCCAGGTTGTGTCGCATGGTGCCAGAGAACAGCACCGGCTCCTGCGGGATGATAGAGATCTGACTGCGCAACTCATGAAGCCCCAATTGTGAGGTCTCGCGCCCGTCGATTATGATCTCACCCTCGATGGTGGTCAGTCTGGAAAGAGAAGAATACAATATAGTGCGATTTAAATAAAAATAGGAAAGCCAATGATCTCCATCTGTCAAATGTCGCTTGAAAAGTACGGTTTGAAAAAAAACTTGGATCCCTTTTTTAGCACTTAGCTAATTACAATCGCAAACAATAAGAAATAATAATTAATATTGTTTAATTTTTTTTTCATTTATCGAGCTTTGGCTATGACTGGTTGATAACTTAAATCGTCAACCAAATGTCACTTTATGTTGCGTTCATAAATCCGATTTAAAACTTTCGTTTAAATAAAGGATGCATGTTCGTATGTGACCTAGTAATACTCCAGCGGTAGAGATGAGCGGAATTGAAGCTAGATTCTGATCAATGTTTTTTCTCACACACTCTTAATAAATAAATATTATTTAAAACCGGTCCTTTTTTTCTCAATCTTAGTAATTAAATTTAAAAAATCTGATGTTTTGTATTCATATAATCTTAGTAAATAAGTTTTATGAAATTAAAAATTTTTTTTAGCTCACTCTACTTATTTGGTTTGAATTTACAGCTATCACATCACAATATGCCCAGATGCCCAGATGGTCCTATACTTAGATGAATCGCATTATATATGTAGCTATGAACTCACTGTTACAACTTCCCTGTATAAATGCGGTGTTGGAGCCCAACGTGGTGCCTTCAGTCACAAGATTCGTACTATATACTATACAGAGTCAAAATACTAACTTAGGTAAAATAAAAGTTGATCATTAATGACGGACGATCAAAGGCTGTATCAGTATATCTCCTGATAAAAGCAGGTGCACTAGAGCTACAGTTAATAGATTTTAAAACGAACCTGAAGAGTGCGTTGATTAGCGAGGACTTTCCAGCTCCTGTTCTGCCAACAATCCCCACCTTCTCTTTTGGGAATATCTCAAAGTTCAGGTCTTTCAGTATTGGTGGCTCTCCAAGCGCGTAATATAAGTAAACGTGTCGGAACTGTATGTGGCCCGCATCCGGCCACGAAGGCGGGGGTTTCTTCTCTGCCGGCGATTGGAGGGGAGGTTCCGATTCTACGTTCGAATACTCTTCTATCCTGTGAATACAAGGGAGGAGTGAATATTGACAGCTAAAGAAAGAGAAAAAGTTTTAAGCGCGGTCCAGTCGTTGATACAATTTACGTAACTGAGAAAGTTTGTAAGATGAAATTGACGACTTTAACGGGATTTTAGAATAAAATTATCTATCAACCAAAACAATATAAAACGACCACACAAAGATACTTACTTTATAAACCCAACTTTTTTATGATTAGCGCAGAATTAGTTTCTATATATCTCATGTGAATGGTTAAATCTCATTTGCAAACAGTTAGTCATAATCCTGTATACTCGTATATCAAATAAAAAAAGAGTATAATGATTATAATCTGACCTCTCTACGCTGGTCATCTGGTTTTCTAGTTCGGTGGATTGCCGCATTCCCCACTGGAACATGCCGGTGAGACCCATCGCCTGAGTAATGGCCAAGCCCACGTTGCCGCCATATTCATCTGAGAAAATAATAATAAAAATGTTCACTTTATAGTTCTTGACTTCTAAATTACAAACAGAATCAAGTGGCCGAACTAGGAAAACTTGAGGCCAGACAGAAACAGTTGTTGAAGACGGATGCCGCTCCAGTGTGTATATGATGTCTCCCTCTAAAACAGAACTTGCCTGACGTTAAGAGTTCGTAATACGGCTCTAATTCTACGGAATGCAAAATAATACGAAACAATTAATTATAAGATAAGCTTCTTTTAGTAGATTTAGAGAGAGATGATTTTGCACTGTTAGGCCACCGATTGAGCAAAAAAATTTTTTTTTCGGGTCTGTCGGTTTTTTACATTATACGGGATTTATATCATTATTATTATTACCGTTATTAAAAAAATACATAGACAGAAAGAAAGTACAATAAACAAATTTAAAAAAATGACATGGAAAAAGGATGTAGAGACCAGCATTAAGGCCCACTTGCAGCAAATTTACTAAATCTCAATATAAATAAAACATGATTTATCCCATATAGTAATATCAAATTGACATAGACATTTCGACATTTTTTAGGATTTAACTAGTTTTAGTTGAATCTAGATTAACTAAATTTGCGGCAAGATTCTCTAAGTTTACTTACTAAAATTTTAAATTATAATAATTAACTAAAGAAGTTGTGTTCTAAATTAACTTACTTTGACCAAAGACCAGGAAGCTGAGTGTTACCATACCAATGTATACAACGCACACTAAGTCTAGCCAAAAACCAAAGGCGCGTGAGCTGGCGATGAATAAGTACCTGTTACCAAACAAAATTATATTGTCACTCGTCAGTAACAAATATCAAATGTTAATTAATATACTCATTTGCTACATTCCCTCAAACATTTGCAGAACAAATTAATTCGGGCCTTAGTACTGCGGTGTAAGGCTAATAATGGAAATTGAATCAAAAAATCAATGAATTTAAAGGAATCAAGTCAGACGACCTGTTGAAAGCTTTTTTTGTATGCTTTTGTCGTTGAGCTAAATTGAAGAAAAGTAGTTGCATATATCATTGGTTGAGTTCTAATGCAACTCCGACTCTAAAAACATGTTTCGAGTGTGATAATGTTAAGGCTAGAGGAGTTGACTATCTATTAATAATACAGTTATTACGTGTCTTTGTTATAGATTGTGTGTAAATGAAAACCGTACAAAAATATGGGTAGACTCGTCAAATGTGAATGGAAAATCATCAAACTCACCATGCGGAACTGTGCAAGTCCTGATGATTATCGAACTCCCTGATGAGAGCTTCCTGGGCACCGAACGCTCTTATAGTCGTTATGCCTTGCAGTGTCGCATTCAAATGGGAGAACACTGGGCTGCGTGCTGTGGGACAAAGATGGCCACTCGAATCATCAATACCAGAATAAATTGGTGATAAAAACCTATAAACAGCAATCATTTGACGGAACTTTTTTTTTTTTTTTTTTTTTTTTTTTTTTTTTTTTTTTTTTTTTTTTTTTTTTTTGACGATGGAAAATGCATTTACGCACCGTACCGCGCGCTGGCTGGTCGCGCGGCGTGTGTGGGACTCCCCGGCGCGGAACAACGCCGGTCCTACCCACTAAAAACCACCGGTACCCTCCTACGCCCATATGGGGGCGTCTCAGGATCAGCGCACCTTAGTGTGCGCCACTTCACTGGGACGCCCCCGGGCTGGCCCGGCCCAACGAGTGGACCGGGCGACACGCCTCTGGGGGATTGCGCTAGGGTACTAGGCAATCCCCAGACGGGGTGGCCTATGCCGAATGGCACCAAGGGCACGCGGCGGCCAAGCCGCGCCCAGACCACCTTAGGGCCGACGAAGACCGGCAGTCACAGCTGCCAGCCTTCTTCGGCCCACCCGTCTACGTCGGAGGGGAGCGGCTAGAGCATCCTCCTCCCGCTCCCTCTCCGCTGCCTCCTTCTGCACCATCACAACTTCGCAGAAGGAGGCGGCAGCCTTCCATGCCCTCTCATTGCCAAGCATGGCTCGAACCATACTTGGCAATGAGAGCGGTCCTCCGCCGAGCGCCGCCACCAACGTGCGGCGCTCGTTTCGCCAGGCCGGACACACGATCAGCGTGTGCTCGGCCGTGTCGTCGGGGGAGGCGCAGTGATGACACCGCGGCAACTCCTCCCGACGGGCGACACGGTGCAGGTAGTGGCCGAAACACCCGTGTCCGGTCAGTACCTGCACCAGGCGGTAGGTGAGGCTGCCCCGCTGGCGCCCTACCCACTCCTCCAACACCGGACGGATCGCCTCGATCGTCCGGTGGCCAGCGGCTGGGTTGGCGAGTGCCTCGCCCCATCGGCGCAGAGCCTCCCTCTGCGCCTGGGTGCGGACCCGTTCGATCTCCTCCCGAACGGGCCGCTCGCCCCGCTCTCTCGCCGCGGCCCTGTGTCGATGCACCTGGGACAGAACCAGGGCATCGATCTCCCACGGGAGCGTACCTGCGAGGACGCAGGCAGCCCCGTGGCTGACCGTGCGGAAAGCCCGCACGGCCCGGGCCGCGATGACCCTCTGTGGTCTCCGTAAGAGGGCCTTTGTGCGGGACGAAAGGCACTCCGCCCACACCGGGGCTCCGTACAGTGCCATCGACCTTATCACTCCATTATAAAGTCGACGGCACGACGCCCTCGGCCCTCCCACATTGGGGAGGAGCCGTCCGAGTCCGGCTGCGGCGGCGCACAGCCGGGGAGCGAGGAGCCTAAAATGCTCCTCGAACCTCCATCGGGGATCCAGGGTCAGGCCGAGATACTTCATGTACATCTCGACATGAACCTGGATCCCCTCAACCCGGACACGGAGCCCCGGTGGCCTGCGTCTTGGGGCATGGAACGCCATGGCCCTCGTTTTATCGAGGGCCACCTCCAACCCCAGGAGGCGAATGCGTCGGACGACCATGGAGGTGCCGACCGACGCAAGGTGGACCGCCTCCTCCCACTCCTTCGCTCCCGCCGCGACAAGGGTGTCGTCCGCGAAGCAGACGACATCCATTCGCGGCAAGAGCGAGCCACGCAGGACCCAGTTGTACCCCAGGTTCCATAATAGAGGGCCTAAAACGGAACCTTGGGGCACACCTGCCGCCACTGTCCACGACTGGACGCGCCCCTCCGCGTCCTCGTAGAGGACTGACCGGTCCCGCAGGTAGTCCCGTACGAGGGCGCGGAGGTAGAGGGGCACTCGGTGGAATTCGAGCGCCGCCTCTATGCACTCGTGGGGGATGGTATTAAACGCGTTCGTGACGGAACTTAAAAAAAACTGTTTCGTTCTAATTTCAGTGATATTACAGACTAAATAAGTATTTTTGTACGATTTAGAACGCGAATGAACTTTATCTCTAGGACATGAAGGTTGTAAATCTAGCAGTATAATGCTTACATTTTTTTGTTCAAAGTGTTATAAACAAGCATATTATGTTGCCTGCCGCTAAGCGGCCACCAAAATAATAATATAAGTTTGTAAATCTTTAGGCAAGTTGAATTATATCAGTTTTCGAATAAACACATTAGACATTATTAGACAGACAGATCAACGAATCGCTGATTGTGATGCTATATAACTCTACGCTCATCTCTTTTCATTTAAAAAGAATTAACTTATCTAATCCTACTCCTCCATTTGATTAAGATAAGTCTATAAGAAAAAGCATAATATGCAGATTTTGCCAACACGCAGAGTTCCATTGAATTTCATGGTAATTTTTAATAAAAATGGCGTTAGTTGCGCCTCAGAGATGACTCCCTCACACACCCTCGAGGCGCTTGATGCTGCGCGGTAGACGATCCTCAGGCCGTAGAACACTACTCTGATCACCTTAAGTTTACTTCGCCCTGTTGTAATTCTAATAAAAGTGGCGTTAGTTGCGCCTCAGAGATGACTCGCTTACACCCTCGAGGCGCTTGATGCTGCGCGATAGACGATCCTCAGGCTGTAGAACACTACTCTGATCACCTTTAGTTTACTTCGTCCTATTGTAATTCTAATAAAAGTGGCGTTAGTTACGCCTCAGAGATGACTCACTCACACCCTCGAGGCGCTTGATGCTGCGCGATGATGCAAGATAGAAGATCCGCAGGCCGTAGAATACCACTCCGATCGCCACGGTGGGGACAAGCAACCAGTAATTGATGACTGCTACTACGACTACGATACCGATGAGGGACAGTCCGATCTGGAAAAATAGGTTTTTAAGATTAGCTCTGATACTATAAAATGATTTTAGAAATGTTGCATTCAGTGCTGTATTGATTTCTACAGACAAACCTGAAGACAAGTTGTTTTTTTTTTGCGTGGTTCCACCGGGGCACCAAAAGGTAGTGTTGTGGTCTCCTGTAAGGTAGAGTTTGCTTCCTCGGACGGGCGCTCCAATACGAGCGGAAAATCTGCTATGTCCTACCTCTCCTATACTGGTTAAACTAAACACTTACTTGTAAAACATCCAGCAATGCCGACGGTAAGACCTCGTCCACAGCGCCCATGTCTTTCGAGAATCTATTCAAGATTCTTCCAGACGGGTTGACGTGGAAGAATCGCATCGGTGCACGGGTTATAGACTCGAACATATTGTTATGGAGGCGAGTGGACGCACGCATGGCCATAGAGAAGAACATGAACGAACGCAGCAACGATATCACTACGAGCGCGACTACCATGCCTGAAAGGGAAGCGTTAATATAATATAGACAGCCACACATCAAATAACCACAAACTATTAAAAGAAATTGCAAATGTTAATCTTACGTCAGGTAATTTAAAGCTCAAAGTCAGTTGAAGAAAGGAGGCGGTTCAAATTTGTATAGAGGGTGATAGTGAGTCTCCGGCACACTGCATTTTTTTTATGTTGTGCACTTCATTGTAAATCGTTTGACCAAAACTAAAATTTATTTAAACCTCATTTAAAAAAGTATTATAATTTTTAATGAGACAAACATTTTTTGGCTAATGGCAAGTTCATTAACCAATACTGGTTATTGCCAAAGCATCTAATATATTCTATTCAATAGGTAACTAAAGCAGTGATAATTATTCTGTTCATCTCTCATTATATTATAAGTTATTTTATTTCAAGAAGAATCAATTATATATTGGTATAATAATTTCACCACGATTTCACGAATATCATGCATGACTGGACTATAACATTTGACATAGTGATTGAGTTGACATTATAAGCTGCCACAGACATTATATGTATAGATTCCAAACAGTAATAACTGAAGATTGTACGTAATCAAAGGAATCACAATGTGTACATACCAGTATAAATGTAGATGCAGTCGTATCTAGTTATTCCACCCGGATAGTACTGCACGTTTTCCACGAGCGAATCTTCCAAACGATTCGAAGTTTCCACGGGATTTCCTGTTGCGTTCAGATCTAGCGATTGGAGTACACGCGGTACGGAACCTTCTTCAAGATTAACCCTGTGTTATAGAAAACTCAGCTTTATAATCGTAAAAGTTAGCTCACATCATCATAATTTTTGAGGTTGCAAGTTCTACGCTCGATATTTTCCATATTTTTTACGTACTGTGTTTTTTAAACAGATTTAATAGAAGAATAATCATGAAAATTATAATAGGTAATTGCACCCGCCAACAAATAAGGGTACACAAACGTTTTAGACTTTCAGTAGACACTGAAACCGAAACAACATCTAGTTCCAAATTTATTTACCCCGAATATATTAATACACAAATGAATAAGTTTTTACTGATCAAGATCTTACCATCTCCGAGACAAACTGTTACCTATCCTTAATATTGTCCTTTAATTATTTATGATTGATTCTCTGACTGTATCCGAATTCAAAATGAAGACTTACCTACCACCAACAGTGCCAACACAGCTATGAAGGCTGTTAACTTCTAGAGAATGACTCTCAAATACGCGCACACACATACACTTTTGGGCCGGCTGATCTTAGTTCCGCTTCTTCCCACTCTCATTGCGGTGGCGCTGCAGTCGTCAATAAACCAGGCTTAAAGTATGTAGATTAATTCTATACAGACATTTGCCAGTAACTGGTTCACCAATCCGATCCGGAGCCCAACAGTTGTGGCCGACACAGCAATGAACGCCATCAGCGCGACCACTAGGGAATGGCCACTGGTTCCAAATACATGCCATACACTTTCCCAGAAACGGCGCTAGCTGATCGTAGTTCCGCTTCTTTCCGCCCGCCCTCAAGTGGCGCTGTGGCCGTCAACAAACTAGCCTTAAAGTATATAGCTTCACAAATTCAATATAAACTTACCAGTAACTGGTCCACCAATCCGATCCGGAGCCCAACAATTGTGCCAATACAGCGACGAACGCCATAAGCGTGACCACTAGCGGATGTCCGCTAGCTCTCAAATAGGCGCCGTACACTTTTCCTGATACGGCGCCAGCTGATCGTAGCTCCGCTTCTTCTCGCCCGCCTTCAGGTGGCGCTGTGGCCGTCAGATTGTCCACTGAACTGACCTGATGTGTCAAATGAACAGCTCGAATGAGACAAGATTATGTGTAAAACTGATTTATATCAAAACTTGGTTGAAATCAGTTTTATTTGGAGTGAAAGAGAAGATAGATAAATAGATAGATAAACACTTTATTACTCACACGTACACAATGAAAGGGTTTACAAAACAGATAGTCAACTATGGTGGGTAAAGGCGGTCTTATCGCTGTAAGCGATCTCTTCCAGACAAGCTTTAAGTCGAAGGATAGTTTAACAGAGATAGAAGAGTAATGTGCCAGCAAAATATAAAACAAAATAAAATAGAAATAACAATATATATATATATTATATAAAATGCATACAAAACATAACACCTACATATATATATAAGAATATACTATGCTAATAGGTAATGATATAAATATAACATAATGTTAATAGAATAATATATACATATACACTACACATATAAGTTATATGTTGCAAACTAGGACCTTGATAAAAGATGTTCATGAAGCTTGTTCTTGAAAGTTGCATTGCAGCCTTGACAGTGAATGAATCCCCAAAGTATCCAGATAGAGTAAATTGAGTTCTAAGTAAATTGTCTGTCCTGGACCTAAGGTTGAGCACGTGATCGGTACTTAGAAATCGGAAACGTTCCTTAAGGTAGGGAGGAGAGCGAGGATCACACAGAACGTTATACAGAAGAGTGAGAACATGCTCTTCACGTCGTAGTCGGATGGGTAGCCACTTCAATTTATTCCTGTATACACATGATCAAACTTGCGCAATCCATAAATAAATCTAATGCAAAGGTTCTGAAGACGCTCGAGCTTGTTTAACAGATCCTCATTAAGGTCAATAGTGCAGATATCAGCGTAATCCAGAATAGGCAAAAGAAGTGACTGCGCAAGTTGGACCTTGGTCCCCACAGGCAGCAAGTTCCTCCATCTCCGCAGTGAACCGGCAGCAGCGAATATCTTTCTGCTGATTTCAGCAATGTGAGGCGACCACGACAAGACAGCATCAAAAATTACACCCAAGTTTTTGACATTCGCACAAAGGGTCAAAGGGGTACAGGAAAATAGAAGAGGAGGAATAACACTAGAATTGAGCCTGGCTATCTGCTTCGATCCGCCAAGAATGATCGCCTGAGACTTCTGAGGATTCACGGTCAAGCCATGGGTACTACTCCATTCGTGAATGGTCTCAAGGTCAGCGTTTAGCTTATCAATCATTCCATCTAAGTTTTCTATAGAGGCTTGTGAATAAATCTGCAGGTCGTCAGCATATAAATGATAATGACAAGAGAGGAGAGGGGTCAGAAAATAAATGAAGAAGGAGAAAAGAAATGGGGAGAGGACTCCGCCCTGGGGTACACCGACTGTGAGTTGACAGCAGGAGAATGTAGAATTGAACTTCAAGACCCATTGACCTTGTAGTAAAAATCAGGAGATTCGGACACTATGTAAGACGCGGGTTTTATGGTTTCGCAGACAACAAGCAATCTTTATAGTTTTACAATGTCCATTAACCCTTTTGTCCACAGCTGAGTGTCTGTTGTAAGCAAACATCTGTTTCATGATCGCAAGATTTACATGTAGCTACCTACCTAAGTTAACACTCAAGTTAAGTTTTCCAAATACGTTAAAAAGGGCTTTATTAGATAAAAAGCCTTAAGTCCTAATTTTTACGAAACTTATTGTAAACTTTAGAGATCGATTCTTTAGCACTGGGCAACGCGTAACAAATTTGTTTTTTTATTTAATAAACATTCTTGGCTTGTGGCTGAGCTACATGTGCTTGTGGTATAAGTACAGTACTCACCGAATTAATACTCATTTGCCGCTTGCGAAAGCTGCCTTGCAACACTAACTCTTCCGGCTCAGCATTGGGTGTCTGCTCTGGTGTTGTTTTCTCATCATCCTGCTCGTCGCGAGCTAACAACGAAGCGAAGTCTAGACCAGACGCGCTTAGAGTTTCGAAGTCACCGGCCGCCGCTATAGTACCGTTCTTCAGGATTATGATCTGGTGAAATATTATTACTGTTTAATAAGTAACATAGAAAAACAATACCACAATTAAACAAAATCTTATCACAATTTGCATCACTACGTATTTTTTGATATAAATGTAGTATGTAAAGAAAAAAAAAGAACCGATTCTTCGGTGCTGCTATAAATAAGTCATACAATCCGATTTTTAAAACTTCACATTTTATGTTACACAATCTATTTGGTATATTTACTTTTAAAATTGTAATTTCTTTAGTACTCTAGTATTTTCCACGAGACAATGTTATCGACGGGAAGAATGGGGATTTTCTGGCGGTCACCAGGTAGCAGCACTGAGGAAAGGTTTACTCTTCCGTCAAATCGCGTATTTCTTCATAGTCTATGCATCAATCGCGCCAAAAACTTAATGCAAAGGACCTCACGTCACAGTGACGCCAACTTCTGAAGTAAAGGAGACAATTGAAATTTGTATGGAGGGTGGTAGTGAGTCTCCGGCAGATTCCAAATTTTTATGAGATGTAGTGAACTTAAACGTAAATCGTTTGACAAAAATCTAGAATTTATTTTATCCCCGTTTTTTAAATAATTATTATAATGTATAATTATATAATTATCGATTGGCAAATGGCAAGTTTTATTTATCTATTTTTTGTTACCAAAGCATCAAATATATCCTATGATAATGATTCTGTTCATCTTTCATTGCATTATTAGGTATTTTGCGGGATTTTATTTCAAGAAGAATCAATCATTAATTGGTATAATAATTTGTTCACAACGTAATTTATGACTAGGTGGCCAGCATTATCATAAAATTGATCAAATTTAAATTAATCGGAGATGAATAATAAATTAAAAGTATCGGTTCGTTTTATAATTTATATCTTATCTCACTCAACTAATCGAAGTCACGCAGGAACTGCAGCTGATGCGTGACAAGAACACGCGTTGTGTTGCGCAGATATCCCACTACGCAGGACTCAAACAGGTGGCGGTCCACGTGTGCGTCTACTGCGACCAGCGAGTCCTCCAGTAAGTAGATGTCGGCACACTTGTACACCGCTTACTCACCTGATCGACGTCACGCAGGAATTGCAGCTGATGCGTGACAAGAACACGCATTGTGTTGCGCAGATATCCCACTACACAGGACTCGAACAGGTGGCGGCCTACGTGTGCGTCTACTGCGACCAGCGAGTCCTCCAGTAAGTAGATGTCGGCACACTTGTACACCGCTTACTCACCTGATCGACGTCACGCAGGAATTGCAGCTGATGCGTGACAAGAACACGCGTTGTGTTGCGCAGATATCCCACTACACAGGACTCGAACAGGTGGCGGCCCACGTGTGCGTCTACTGCGGACAGCGGGTCGTCCAGTAAGTAGATGTCGGCACGCTTGTAAACCGCCCGCGCCAGAGATATGCGCGCGCGCTGTCCTGTACGAAAAAGTATGACGGCCGTGATTCGATGCCGCTTGGTTCACACCACTACTCGACACTCTTCGCCTTATTACTAAATGACGACTAAAGTTAAACCAGGTGTAACACTGATGCTGTCACTTTTGTTGGCTAAAAAGAAGACAGAGACAGCATAAGTTTAAACCAAAACTAACTTAAGTCCGCGTTTTGGAATAATGTGGTCTAAGTTTGTCAGTGTTTTAGCAAGGTTCTAATAGACGCGCGAGACATCGTACGTTGCGTAGCATTTTGTTTATCCCTTTGCTAAAAGTAGAATAAGATCATTTAGATAGTAAAACATGAATAGTTCCACCTAATTCACATGGAGGAGATCGATGGTGCTAGTGGTTAGCGTATCCGGCTGAAGTTAAAGCCACGATGGGCGAACAAATATTTACTATCTCGAGCTCCGACGCTGCTTTGCAAGGCTGGTTAAGCCGTTAGTTTTGGATGCATCTGCAGACGTTAGCATCACCAATCCGCACTAGGCCCGAGTGGTGGGTCATGGCCCAATCTTCCTATTCCATCCATAGGGAAGGTCTGTGCCCCAGCAGTGGGGCATTAACAGGCTGATGATGATGACGATTAGACATTAATAAATACTCACCTCCGCTAAGACTGACCCCTCTCTCGCCGACGATGGTTTTGTCTCCGTGCGGGAACAACGTGAAGTCGCGGTCGAGGGCGCACCGCCTCACTACCGCGTTGTACCGCGGCCTGTCCATCGCTTGACCGAACAGAATGTTCTGACGAACACTTCCTGAGAGATAACAGTACTGCACCCTTAGCACGAACCAATATTGAATTCGAATAGTTGAATGCGATCTCGATACGCGTCAAATGCTAAGAAGTTTTGTGTAGGAATTTTAACAGCGCGCCTCAAAGCACGTAATGAGAATGAACAATATTCCATACAAAACTTCTTGATATTTGACGCGTAACTACCGAGCTCGAGCTAAGGGTACTATAAAGGATATATATTAAAAAGTTAGGAGAACAGAAAGAGTGCCACAAAACGATGTCCCGAATCTGACTGCAATAACTTTCGTAAACTGTTTCCTAAGTTTTAACCGACTTCAAAAAGGAAGAAGTTTTCAAGTCGAATATTAAAGTATATTATTGAAATATTCGAGTAGAATTTATCTGAAAGCTGGTTTACCCATTCTCTCTATTTCATTGCTATGGTGCGATTCAAACTTAAAGACGCTTGTGAAGTTACTAACGAATGCAACAATACGCAGGTTGTGCTACAAAAAAAAAGTGTTTGTTAAGTTTTCACGCACATGCGTTTTTGCAAGAGCACTTTTTTACTTCGTCATTTTGCATCCTTTTCAGGACGACCTGAGTATAATTTTGACGAGGTACCTTCGAAAGACTTTTCAAAAGACCAAATAAATAAAACAAAATCAAAAAAGAATTAAATAAAGTAATTTATTGATTAAATTAGCTCTCTAATAAATACATAGACATTATACACTTCTGGACACATCTACTGGCCTACCTTAGAGTTTAGGTTTCGATGGCCCCTACCGAAATATGATTGCTAGATTGAACAAAAACTGTTGATGCAGTTTTAAACCTGATACATTGAACCATCTTTTTCGATCGTATTGTTTTAAATTTGAATTCTGAATACCATACGACATGGAGCTACGCCTAACAAGTCGGATATGCGCCTTGTTAAAGGCAATTGATTTTTGAATAAAAAACATGTTTTATCAAATAAAGGTTTAATTTAATAACGCGTGTTGTCTCCATGGGCAGCTACCACAGCTCTCATACGATTAGGCATAGAGTTTATCAACCGCTCTATGAAATTTTGAGGGATCATCTCCCATTCCTCTTCTATGGCAGTTTTCAACTCCTGCATCGTCTGGGCAACTGGCTGACGAGCCCTAACACGTCTTTTTAGCTCGTCCCACATGTGCTTAATGGGGTTCATGTCTGGGCTTCTGGCTGGCCAGTCTATAACTGTGATGTTCACATCCCGAAGATATTCCCTGACGATGCCGGCCGCACGTGCTCTTGCATTATCATGCATAAAAAGGAAATTTGGGCCCACATAGTCCGCGTATGGTATCACGTGAGGTTCTAAGCACTCACGAATGTACCTTTCAGCATTTAATGTTGGCAGCCGTGGTCCTGTAACAACCTGAAGTTGAGTTTTGCCGCTCGCGGATATACCGCCCCAGACAGTCCATGAGCCACCGCCATAAGCAACCCTCTCTTCAAAGCAGCATTATGCGAAACGCTCTCCCTTACGTCGGTAGACCTTCTTCCTTCCATCATTGCCATGTAACACAATTTTAGACTCATCAGAAAAGAGTACACGGCTCCAATCTTGCTGTGTCCAATTTAAATGATTGCGTGCGAAATGAAGGCGCGCTGTTCGGTGGGCTCGCGTTAGTTTGGGCCCATTAGCTGGCTTGTGTGGAACCATATCGCGTTCTTTTAACCTTCTCCGAACAGTTCGAGCGCTCACAGATACTCCGTGGAAGTCGCGAATTTGTTTTTGTATCTCAATGGATGTAAGGTGACGATTTCTCAAGCTGGTCGTCACGATGAATCGATCCTGCCTTTCAGTTGTGACCCGAGATCGTGGCCTTCCTTGGCGACAAACAAAGCCGCCAGTCTCTAGGTACCTCCGATAAACATTTCGGACCGCAGATCAACTTAAATTAAGTTGAGCACTCACGTTTCTTTGGCTGTGTCCGGCCTGAATAAGTGCCACAGCTTGGGCGGCGACTTCAGGTGAAGTATCCATAGATTATTGATAGAACCTCACCTTAATGTTAAGAATAAGTAATGTTTGTTGCAAAACCAAAGATATCAATCACTTTTTCAAGAATTAAATCCAAGTAAACCAATAAAACCAAGTTTTCTTAGTATTCGATTGTTTGATATCAACAAACAGGCTCCAAATTGTCTTTTGTTTCTTTAAATTCTGTGTTCGAAATTCAAAAAAAGGCTATTGAATGAAATTGTGAATGTGCCAGGTTCAAAACTGCATAAAAACTTTTTGCTCGACCTAATATAAAATTTTAACCAGGACCAAACGAAACTGAAAATACAAGGTGGGCCAATAGATGTGTCCAGAAGTGTATTTCTTTAATAATCTTTCAATGAATTATCCGAATGTTGAATAAAAGTCTTTCGAAGGTAGCTCGTCAAAATCAAGTTTATTTTTTATATAGAACACCAATAGCCGGCATTATCTTTGAATTGCACAAAAGAGTGTTTCACGGAGATTTAATTCTTTTGTATCATGTTCTACAATAAAGTGTATTATTATTGTAAGTGTATGAGAAACATACCAGCGAACAGCCAGGGCTCTTGGCTAGCGTAGGATATTGTGCCGCCGATGTGCACGCTCCCTGACTGCAGCGGCAGCTCGCGTAGCAGCACGTGTAGCAGCGACGACTTGCCTGCGCCCACCGGGCCTATCACGGCGATAAGTCTATTACGAAACAATAAACACTCCTACAGTAATCTAATACAATAAAATGACAAACAGGCAGGGCTCTTGGCTATCGTAGGATATTGTGCCGCCGATGTGCACGCTGCCTGACTGCAGCGGCAGCAACACGTGCAGCAGCGACGACTACCCCCCCCCCCCCCTTCAGGCCCTTTCACCGCGATAAGCCTTTTATGAAACAATAAACACTCCTATAGTGATCTAATAAAATATAATGACAAACAGCCAGCGCTAACGGCTGTCAAAGGATATTGTGCCGCCGATGTGCAAGCTGCCCTACTGCAGCGGCAGCTCGCGCAGCAGCATGTGCAGCAGCGACGACTCCCTCCCCTCCCCTCAGGTCCTAACACCGCGATAAGCCAATTATAATAATAAATAATAATAATTATCTTTATTTGTTCTTCCACAATCTACAAATTACATGACAACTTATTATACTATAATTTTATATCAGAACAAAAAAATAGATTGTGAGAGACTGGTGCCTGAACTAGGCAGAAAGCCTGTACCTCAGAGCACCAGGACTCTCCCTCCCCTGGAGAATGCACATTGAGAAAATTATAGGGTCATTGATCTTCCATTTAAATTTATATTGTAGGTATAGGAACAAAAGAACACATTTTATAACAATTGTACGATTACCTCAAAATAAAAATAAGTACCAACAAAGCTTTGATTATAATCAAAGCCTACAAGTAACAATTTACTTTAATGTTATAACTATAATGAGTGTGGAAGTAAAATCGGTACTTAAAATGTGAAAGCATGAGAGGGATGAGGATAGGCTTAATATGATAAATTTAGTCAGACGAAAGAATCCACCCACAGTAACACGCGAATGACATTTAGTTGTTTACCATATGAGACGTCACAATCATGGCGGATGTGGCGAACAGCGTTTTTAGTGTTTAAAAAATATAGACTAAAAAATATTTTTTAAAATTAAATTTCTACAGCAATCTTCTGCTTTTATGAAGTGAAATTGATATATTTAGGTTCCTTAGACCAAATACTTTATGAAATAAACATTTATTTAATACAATTCGACATGAGTCAACTAGCCTATTATCTATGGAAGTGTAATAAACCTTCCGTTTCTAAGTATGTTTGGGAAAGTAAAAATTTACTAACACAGATTTTACAATTTCTGTTTGTGTAGTGGACAATGTTTAATTATGAAACAATAAACACTCCTACAGTGATCTAATATACAGTTTAATGAAGAACAGCCAGGGCTTCTTCTGCATTCACCATTGCGCTCCGAGTGCAACTTTTCACTCTGACGTTTCAATTTTGATATAAATGGTATAATAAAACCTTTGTCAAATTTAAGATTTGTTGCAGCTGGATTGTAGGTTTGAAACGCATCCCTGTGTATTTTGTATATTCGACCGTCACGTGAGGAGTAGACGGCGTGTATAGAGAATCATGTTTAAGAAACAAAGTTTTGTGTGTGTGTTTTTGCTGAAGACCCGGCTTTACAAAGATTAAAGAAAATCGACTTACTTTCCCGGCTTGATTGTGAGCGATAGGTCAGTGAGAGTGTTCTCGGGGTGCGCGGCTATCCACTTGGCGTTTGCATGTTTTAGTCTGACGCCACGTGAGTCTTCCTCGATCCGCATCGAAAGTTCTTGTTCGTCTTCTTCGCCAGTCTCCAGAGGCGCTAACTTTGTCGCTCCTAAAGGATTTCATGTTTATGTTAATTCTTTTTAATCGGCTTTCAATAGGAGGAGGTTATCATGATACAAAAAGTTATAAAATACAAATTTTATAAATTTTTGTATCATGTTAGAAAGAAAACAGCCATGTACTATTATTATACTATTAAGATTGTATATAGTTAGCATAGTATAGTAATACGAACGACTATTTTGAAAACTTCTCACCATTTCCTTTTTCCTCTTCACCTTTGTGCTCTGCTAATGTTTCGAGGGTTTCCGATTTCTTGGGAGTAACTTTTTGCGTCTCCAAATCTTCTTTTACGACTGGTTCGAGATCCTCTCTTTCAACTTGGGTCTCCCTGCCTTCTTTGGGTTTAGTTGAAGTTTGAATTTCCGCAAGTCCTGGCACCGGTTTAGCCGTATCTTCGTACAGCATGAAGTTTTGAAGACGCTTAATTGATATTGCTGCTTCTGCTATTTGGGCAATACCTGAGGAATTTGGATAGGAATAATGTCTGCACGACCAACCTAAGCATTGTTATATTAATTTATGAGTATAATATGTATATTTTGAAGACTTCTTAATGTCACCATTGCTGGGGTAATAGACTCTTACCACGGGGGGGTCCTGTGGATTGGTGAGTGCTATCATTTATAAATGCAGCCTAAAGCCATTCATTAACATTCTTTCCGAAGCAGGACGGCACTCGAATTAATAAATTTTATTCATGGACATATAATTATATTATACAAGCACATATTTGTCATTAAATAAAGAGGGGATCGCTTGCAAAAAATGTTCAACTTTCCATCAAATTATGAAACATGAAAGCTGATAGCTTCCGTCAAGTTACGACCACAAGTCACCTTAACAGTTTCATTATTTGACTTTCCTTTCTTAGGAAGTTGTTGTGATTGCAATTGCGTTAGCATAAAATCTTACCTTGTGGAAAGAACACAGTCATCGTCTGCCTCAATATGTTGTAGAAACTCGTTATGACGAACACCTGCTTCGCGCTGATGACATTGTGGACCAGCACGTACGCCAGTATAGAGCAAAATAGGCAGATACGAGTCGTAAACATTATGAAGGAGGTGAGCACGCCTCGGATGTATGACGTAGCGCGGATTTGCTTGATCTCATGCCTGGGGAAAGAAAGTATTTCATCACTTTTACATAGTGGATTGGTTGAACATTAGAAGCATCATCGCTGGCTTTCTAAACTCTTCATTAATGGGACACAGGCTTTTCCTATAGAGAGAATTGCTGAGACCGGGGCGCCAGTGTGCTAGATGTGAACTGTGGGCAGATGCAGAGGGAAGCAAATGCTTTTAAAAGCAAGGATGATTTGGAGAGAATAAGGAAACGATGGATTACTTTCAAGCTGTAGCACTAAATCGACCCTTATGAACATATCTATGTACTTATCCCTAAAAATATATAGCGTTCGGTCTGCTATTCAAATTCAATATAATTTATTCAGTCTAGGCTGTTACAAGCACTTGTGAATAGGGTTACCAACTTTTTTTTATCAAATATAATATTTTCGACGCTGTTACCACTAAAAATTCAGTAGATGGCAAAAAATGGAAAATAATATAGTATGTAATTAAAATATTTACTTTATCTTTGAAATGAATATATTTTTGCTGCTATATGCCTTAATAATTAAGTTTTTATTTTTAAGAAAAGCTTTTACTGGAAAAGCCTGCTTGAAGCAAAATATAGTAGTATCGCCTACTATATATTTTTCAGAAATATAGTATTTGATCCCCTAATATAGTTGAGCAGGCAACCCTACTTGTGACTGACGAAAAGCTACGCCATCGGCATCGGTTCGAAAATCTATGGCGGGAGATCTTGTACTAAGAAAACCGGCAAGAAACCCAGTATTGCAAATGTTGTATATCTTAAGCTATGTCCAGATAAAAAATTGTATTCAATTGTTCCTCCGTTGTTTAGAGTCTACGCAGTCGTTGGTCCCCGCCGCGTCTGCAGGTGTTAGCACTCATCGGGTGCGCGTGATTGGTTGTTGTTATTTCTAATTATGTGATTCTGTTCGTAAGAATTGTCTGTGCTTTAGAACAGGGAGCAATTCGCCTAACGGGATTGCTATCGCTATCTCTAACGATTTCATTTTGTTATTTCTGACCGCAAATGCCTCGCGCTCTTTTTTTCTTTTGCATTGGTCATAATAAGAATATTAAAGAAAAGAATCGTGATGTATTTAAAAACCTTCGGCGGTTAGAAATAACAAAATGAAACCGTAAGCGATAGCGGTAGCCATAGCAATTCCGTTAGGCAATTGGCCCCCAGGACGTATTGTAAAAGAACTCACTTCCTAGCCTTCGCGACGAGATCCGCGAACGGTTTCTCCCATGTGTACATCTTGATGACTTGTATACCCGAGAGGATTTCGTTCATTAGCCTCACTCTCTCGTCTGTTCTGAGTGCGGTCTTTAGTCGTAGTACCGATGTCCGCTTGCCCAGGTATGCTGAAAAATATCACTTAAGCTAAGTATAAGCACTAGTGATGGGCCGACTAGTCGGGAAAGACAACTGTTCGGTTATATCAATTAATGCTAAAAACAATTTATGCTTGTTTTGTTTTAAACCTAAACAGGATGAACCTATCCAAAGTTACAGTCTTAAAATATTTTCTTTTATCTCAAATAGATTATACCGACACAGCAAATACAAAACGAACAGACGAAATGAAAATGTAGACAATTAGTCACAATATGCTCCGTGGCCGCGCAATGGCAAAATGACTTGTGTTATGCGTGAGCAAGCAGAGTAGTGAATAATATTCCGAACACTAACCTAAGAAGGGTATGATCGGCATTGCCGACTAGTCGGCATTTGAAAACCGATCAGACGGCTAGTCGATTAGTCGGCAAAAACAATAGTCGGCCCTATCTCTAATAAGCACACTTGCTTCCGCCCACAACGTCGTCCACGTTAGTTTTTTGAAAATTCCACAGATGCCTAACATTTTCCGGAATAAATTCTATGTCTCTATTCAGGCAATATTTATAATACAGAAGAGATATGTTCGCGCTTTGTCAAACATTTGGTATCTGGATATTTGAAAACCGTTTTTTTATAAGGACTGTTTACTTCCATTGCCCTGTTTTTATATTAGAGAGGCTTGCCTTTTTATTAAATCACTAGTGGCCCGCCCTCGCTTCGCTTCGGTGTAGTGTAGAGCTGTAGTGTAGACTAAAATTACTCTTTATATAATTATAAAAAAAAAACTGAAAATGGTATATTTGCCATTTCCAAACTTCTAACGTCACTCAATTGTTTTGCCTTCTCGGAACCTCTCCACTAACATTTGAAATTTATGGTATGGTATTAAAGTTCAAATTGACTTTCAAGTATTATTATGAATCGTTTGTATGGGAATATAGAAAAGTGTTGTTTTTTTCAGGCAATTTATTTAATTTTTTCTGCGTAAGAACTATCCTCGTACTTCAATGAATATTCTAAAAAAAGAATTATCGAAATCCGTTCAGCTGTTCTCGAGATTTGCGCTTAGCAACACATTCAGCGATTCATTTTTATATTATAGATATCCTAAATACTACCTACTTTAAAACCTGTCAGGACGAAGCAGTTGCGTAAAAAATATACAGAATATATCAACCTCCCTGTCACAAGGATATGTAAACGGAATGTCTAATATGAGCATATTAATTCATGATAATTTATAATTTAAAAAACACAAAAAGAGGCTTCACTTAAAAGAAATTAAACCAAATGGCTATTTTGTTAGTGTTTTATACTATTAAGGAATATATAGATTGGACACTTTAAGTAGACCGCTTAACTGAGGCCTCGCCTGCGGGGTACAGAAAGTGAAGGAGGACGAAAACTGGGACAGTGACAGAAGGCCTACTCTAATTCAACAAAAAACGAAATTTCGATCGAAACTTCGCACTTTTCTTACTATGTTTCGTGTTCGTTTTTAATTATAATAATATACGTCGTCGGAATGTAGATTGAGGTGTAGATTTTCCAAGCCTACTCAAAGAAAGCCTCAATTTGATAGTTATTATCGTTCAAATTAAGTATAACCTTAAATTGAGGAAATTAAATTTCGTTTGAACTTCGTTATCGAAAGTTCGTTTCGCAGAAAAAGAGTAGTTCTCCTGGTGCGAGCGGCAGACATATTCTTGTCAACATTACAAGTGCCCGCCGCCCGCACTTCTCACTGTCCCCGTCCTCGTCCTCCCCCACACACTGTACTCCGCAGGCGAGGTCTCAGTTAAGCGGTTTACCTATAGCATGTTTTATAAATGATTTATATGTACACTTTATTAAATGATTTAAGGTTCTATATTTATGTGAGCAATGTGGAAAATACTTTTTATTAGTGTCTTAAATTTTTGCATGTCTGACAGCAGGCTAAACACATGTACATATATACACTGTAACTGCTGTTGTAAACTGTTTTGTGCAAATAGAATATTTGATTTGATAATCAACTAATGTGTGCCAAACTACATTCAAATCCGTGCAGCCATTTTCGCGTGATTGAGTAACAAACATATAAACTGCTACATTAATAATATTAGTAGATTACAGAAAATTTATTTTATCTATACTTTAAAAACGATTTTACAACTAAGTACCTACATATTTTTAATAATATTATGCAAAATCACACTCCCCTATGTATAAAATGTTCTTAATAGGAGATACGAAACTTTTTTCTTCCCTTATCGATATAATGTTAACGGTAATTTGACGTCTGCTAAGCTAAGAATGCTAAGCCGCATGTGTCAAAGTTGCAATTCTTTGTAAAGCTACATTTTCATCAGTTTATATCACTATGCAATCAAACTTTTTTTTATTACAATATAAGATTACTCCACATTAATAAAACGCAATGAATTTCAAATTCCTTATGAATTATCTATCACTTACATCAATCAATCAGTGTTTACAACTTTTTATTATGTCTTATCAGAATTTACATACAATTCACATGTCCAAATAATCTGATAACATAATGTATTATACAAGTGGTTATCACTTTAAAAATAAATTGTAGTCGTTGTCCGATAAAGCTTTAAGGAAACCATTCTTTCACAACTTCATAGCACTTTATTGATATTGTTAACAAAAAACCATAGCCCAAAATTAACAAAACCAAAATTTCAAAAACACATTAATAGCATCTGAACCGGAATAAAATTAAGTCGTAAAATTCCCTATTGAATCCAATATCCTGCTATCCCTATCGAGAGCTATCGAGCATACTGGCTATATTTGGCCAAAAGGACATTGATCGATTGCGATTGATTATTCCGTACTCATAGTCGTAATTTTTTTATTATTTATAAAGGTAATGCTTTTTCTATAGTAATAGAATAAGACAACGAAGTTACTTGATAAACCGGCATTCGTTATATGAACAATAGTTGCATAAAACTATTAAAGTTCTTGACATCTCGACGACCTCCGTGGCCGAATGGTTTGTACGCCGGGTTTCATGGTGTCGCCGACTCGAGACGTCCTGGGTTCGAATATCGGTGGGGGCTGATGTTTGTGTGATGAATACGAGCATTTGTGCTCCGGTCATGGATATTTAATATGTATTTCTATATAAATATATTTATACACGTACAGTATATGTATTCTATCCGTTACTCTAGCATCCCATAACACAAACCGTACAGTGCTTACTCTGGAGCTAGGCTAATTGGTGTGAGTGTTATCAATATTTATCTATTTATTGAGGAGCTCGATGGCGCAAGTGGTTAGCGCGTTCGGCTGCGATCGTTGAATTTAAGCAACTTTCGCAGTGGTCGGTCATTGGATGGGTGACCAAAAATTACTATCTCGAGCTCCTCCGTGCTTCGGAAGGCACGTTAAGCCGTTGGTCCCGGCTGCATCTGCAGTCGTTAGCACCCACCAATCCGCACTGGGCCCGCGTGGTGGGTCATGGCCCAATCTCTCTATTCCATCCATAGGGAAGGCCTGTGCCCCAGCAGTGGGGACATTAATAGGCTGATGATGATGATGATCTATTTATTTATTTATCTATCTCTGAGTGCGTCCGTTTGTGCTTATTTTTTTATAGTGACATGGTCTCAATTTGAACTTTGAACTATGCAACTTTAGCAAACAAACATTATAAGCGTTTTATTAAGGCACAAAAATAGCCCAATAAAGGAAAGTTTGTTATCTATGTTGACCTTTTGGGGTATCGTTTTTCTGATATAGTGACAACTACAAGTGTTTAGCAATAAAATACATATATCGATAAAATCTACCACGCTAGACTGGAAATGATAACAACCAGAATTCGTCAGATGAAAAATTTCCGCACAGATAGTAAATCTCGTTGAAGTTTTGGAAACTACCAAACTAACATTGTAGATCTTGCAAGTTTCAGCAGATTAAGGAAGCGTTGATTTGATTTATTCTGACATTAAATATCTGTATCTATTTTATCTTTAGGCTGATGATGATGATGATGATGATGATCTATTTTATCTTAGGTAATACACAATATCTGAAACTTTAAGAACGCACGAGGATATATTTTGAACGTACATGAAAAGGTTTTCGTAGTAAATATGATTGTCTAACCTTGCAATGGTATAAACGCCAACATGAATCCTACTCCGACGACCGCTGCCCAGCTGATCTCAAGCCACATGAGGTATGTTATGATAATAGTCGCCAGTGGCCCGAGCCACAGGTAGTGCACGAATATCACGGCCACATCGAAGCGGTTCACGTCGTTTGACAGCAGATTTACCACCTGCCCGACAGTCGTCTCGCCGAGGGCAGTCTTCGATAGTCTTAATGACTGCAAACAATAACAAACAAGGTTATCACACTTTAAACCTAATTAATGAGTGTGTTTTAAGCAAAAAACAATGTTTGTATAATAAAAAAACAATTTACTGATGGTATCAAACATTGTCATCATCTCAGCGTCCAAAGATCTCCCAAATCAAATACCCAAACAGCCCGTAGTGCTCTGTCTTAATCAAGCGGTTATATGTAGTACGATCGTGTTGATTCACTAACATCAGGTATCCGTGCCCGTTTGAGTTTTTAAAGAACTAATTTCTCAATAGTACTGTACCCTTAGCACGAACCAATATCGAATTCGAATAGTTTGCGAATACAAAATGTCATTGTCAAATGTGTACTGATTTTTAGTTATCGTTACGTCCGTTATGGCGCCGCTGTTCAAGTTTCCATACAAAATTTCGCACTCGCTAACAATTCGGATTCAATATAGGTTCGAGCTAAGGACACTGTTCTGACTGAATCGTTTCGTAAGAGAACAACAGACTACAATACAAACTAGTGGTTGGTCAGTAAGTAGGTTAGGTTAATCCAAGTAAACAATGCGCCAAGACGAAACAACACTGTATGTCGTCAGCAAACCTGTGCTACACTTTAATTAACTGAATTTAAAACATGTGTATGTTTTAAATTCAGTCAGATTCTACTACGAAGACAGATATTATTTAGTAATTCTAACAAAAATAAACTGATCAAATTGGTTATAATTGTGCGCGTTTATTTTAATTTTTCAAATTCTCTTCGGCTTTCACGGACACGAAACTAAGGTTTTGTGTGTCTCAACATGACTGAGCAAATATTGAACTAGTTAATTTCACATAATTTTCAGTATCTGGGTCTTCCCTTTAGATTTAGTTACCTAAGTAGAAGTAAGAAAGATTAACAAAATCGTTTTTAAGGCAAAAGTAATATTTGGAAGACTAAGGATAATACTAAGGAAAATTTAAAATAATTTGAAATCCACATTTTTTAAATACATCAAATATCTTGATTTTGTGTTACACTGAAACATTTGAAGATGGACTGGATGGACATTCAGTATTCATTTGTATTTGGTAGCAATATACAATGTCTCGTATTTATTGACCTTTTTATTTCAACATGATAGAGTAATATTATCGATTTCATCTATGTTTTATAGCTCATGCAGCATATAAATGATGTCGCACATGATCGTGCGTCACTGGTTACAGTGCATTGCGATCGGGAAACGAGACTGATAAATAAAGTGACGTCATCTACACTTCGATCGAAATTTAGGTCGAGGAGCAATGTACACTCTTATACATTTTCGTTGCGTCACTAGCAGTAATTTATAATAAGAGATGAATTTAAGAGGTTTCTGTCCCCAAAGTTGTTTGGAATTTTGCAAGCGTCACTATTACAACTGTAAGATTTATCTAACTCGTATATCGTACCAGCTAATGCTGAGGCAGGCTTCTGATTAGCCCCGAGATTTTTTTTTATCTGTAAATGTGTAAATAAGATTTAATTAAATATATTCTATTCTATTGTAACTAAGTACTAATTTTGTATTTAATCTAAGTTGCAATCTTTTGTAAGGTAAAGGATGCTGTCTCAATATGTCACTATAAATCAAGTAGACAATTTGATTCGGTCTTCAAATCCTAAAGTATCATGTCTGATACACTACGATCAGTCGCATGATTCGCAAATTAATGAAAGTTGTTTACAAGTTTTACCTAATAAAGTCCTGCTGTCTCTAATGAAGATTGGGTTGGGCTTGAGTTCAATGCACCTAGATTAAGTTTCAAACAAATGCAAACTGATATAAGGCGCAAGTATTGTATTACATTTAAAGTTTGTATAAGCAGCCACCTGATTAACCATTAGGTACTGGTTTTTGGTTGAAATAACAGAAGGGTTGCGCTTATTCTTATTGCAGCGGTGCATGACCATAATCATATTGTACTTATGTGTTAGCAAATAAGTAAAAAATCAAATTATCAAATGTTATAGAAATCTTAAACTAACTCTCACGAAAAATGGGCTAAAATTGCAGTACAAACCAACGTAAGTTTGTATACAATAAACATAATAACAACTTTTCAAGTATACCTAATCATATACGAAAATAACAAAAATATTATAATAATTACGTAAACAAATTTTTCGAGCTCGTAGGTGATGTAGATAAATTATCGACGCAACAAGAAGTTTTTGCGAATATTCGCTTGTAAAAAGATAGGTTGACATTTAGACATTGACCTTAGTGATTTTATTGAACAAAGTTCGATGACATCACTTAGGTCAATGTCAAAGACTGGGCGAGTGGATAAGTGATCAACATTTATGGAACGCTCTTGCAGTCAGAGCCAACAGCTCGAAGCTGCCATTTCAACGCGCTTCCAATCGCCCGAAGGAGTCGCAAATGATCCATATATGTGTGTATGAAGACTATAGTTCACTCTGCAGTCGCAGCTTGACGCAGTCCATTCTGTCTGCTTCAAGCAAGTCAAATAGAGATATTGAAATAATAATGTTAATAATTCATGTAATTTTATAAAAAAATATTGCCAGTTATGTTTAATAGGACGACTACACTATTGAATTAGGAAAATGGGGGTATCCATAAATTACGTGAGATGTTTAAGGGGGGGAGGGGGTCAAGTCAAATCTCATCTAATCTTAAGTTGGAGAAGGGGGGTCTCGGTAAATATCACGGTATTTTTTTCTGATTGAAACAAAAAACATTCATACTATTTTGGTTCATTTAATCCACATTGTACATGATTATGATTTAATCTTAAACGTAATCGGAATATGACTAAGATCATTCACTGATTCGATCGAAAGAAAATAATTTCATTCATACTTCGACGATATAACTCTCTGCAATATTGATTACTAGTCTTAACTACTCGTAAATAAAAGCACGAAGCATTTTTTTTCTTTTTACAATAACAATCCAACGCGTTTACGTAAGAAACCCACATTGGAGAGGGTTGAATAAAATCTCACGACATCTCACCAGGGAGGCACAGAAAATTCAAAAGAACACCTGACGTAATTTATGGACGCCTATACCTACCTGTTATAATAGTGTAATGTGTTTTGAATAAATAAATAGTAATTGCGCTAAAAGTATATGTTTTTGGGGGTTAAAATGAAGATCAAAAATTTATTTAATACTAGTGGCCCGCCCTCGCTTCGCTTCGGTGTAGAGCTGTAGTGTAAACTATAGTTTTTGTTCTCAGGCTTGTGCAATAAACAATGACTTTATTTATATAATTACACGTGTTATTGTGAGTCAACCATAAAAGATAGACATATGCTGTTGCGGGATATTTTTTAGACAATTTTATGTAGAATATTTCCGTCATACATGATTTCTATGTAACTTTAACCATTAAGGCTGCACACACGACGGAAGCTACAAAATTAAGTAACTTCTCCGGTTTTCCCAATATTTCCCTTCACTACTCTGCTCCTATTGATTGTAGCGTGATGAAAATTAACTATAACCTGCCCAGGAGTATGAAGAATAATTGTACCAAGTTTCGTTAAAATCCGTCGAGTAGTTTTTGTTTCTATAAGGAACATACACACAGACAGACAGACAGACAAAAAATTTACTCATTGCATTTTTGGCATCAGTATCGATCACTAATCACCCCCTGATAGTTATTTTAAAAATATATTTCATGTACAGAATTGACATCTCTACAGATTTATTATAAGTATAGATATATTTTATTTAAGCAACATCGAAAAATAACGTATTTTGATTCTTAATTGTTGTTTTGATTTTCCTTAATTGGAGTATAAGTGCTTTTTATTGAAAAAGTAAGACGCGCCTTTATTAAAGTAGTTTATTTCATGGCAACTAAGAATAAAGACTCCAAGTACTTATTTAATATTTTACGACTGAAACATTTTTTTACTCTTTGGGGATGTTTTTGTGGTTATAAAAGTTATAAAATAGATAATGGTCTCAACAACAACAACTTCTAGTGCCACTTAAAACAATTTAACGTTACCCAACAAACCACAATGTTTTGATGGTTCCAAGTGAACGGAAAGACAACATAAACATAGTTGAGTTTACAATGACACCAACAACATCTGAATAACGTATGCAAAGCACTTTAGACTGTAGTTACCATGGCGGACCATACAAAATTGATATTTTTTCATTATAGTCAACTCTCATCAGCTGCTTTACGTATTCACGTACATCCTGTTGATGTCTCATACAAAGGTCGCCAATGATTCGGATGAGTGCCTACGCAAGCTACCTTACAATCTATTGTGCAATATTACGTTGATCTTATAAAATAATATTGAATTGTTGAAACATTCTGGAATTCTGATTCATGTGAAATATTCATGAACATCGATGCTTATTATAGAAATATATTATATATCTACTTTTAGTTCAAATTAGCTGACCTTTTTTTTAATTTCTTTTATAAAAACCTTGCCCTGTCAATAACGAATGCAATAAGAAAAATCCAATTAAGCGCAAAAAATCCAATTTGAAATTTCATTCGGCGATAAATTTTTAATAGAAGAGGAAGTTCAGCGAGTTTGTCTGAACCGATATATTTTAATATATTGCCATACCTTTCTATAAATAAGTGAACAGCAAGCCACTCTGAATTTCATGCCCATATGTAAGATTGCCATCATATACGGATGTACGACGAAGACATTGAGTGCGGAACACAGCACCACTGCGCCCGCGTAGTAGTACGCTTCTGTGGAATCGATGTTCTCATTTTCCGGACTGTAGTACTCCACTAGCTTGCCAAGGAACACTGGCTGAGCTACTCTGAAAGAAATAAAAATCGTCATAAAATTTGGCAAATAGTTTAGGCCGTATACAGTTTATTCCCGCCCAGTCGTGCAGCTTTTGGAGCAAAGCTGCAAGCATATTTTTTGTCGAATGCATAAAATATGTATGGAATTCGCGTGTGACTTCTACGTAAACCACAATATTAGGAGAATAACCTTCATATTCTTACTTTTAATAATAACATATTATTATTACTTAAGCTTAAAAAATCTTGTGGGCTAGTATAAAAGTAGTTACACGATGTTTTCATATACCTACGAGTTCTAATCTACGTTAAGCTACATTCACTAAAGCAAGTACTTTAAGTGATAATGATACTATGTTAGATAATCGAACAACATCAGTATAAAAATATAATATATCATACCTACGATTAAAGAAATTCAAAGTATATTGAGCCAAATATATACAAATATGTTAAAATATATATTTAATTTTAGTACACCAACAATATGTATTCTTCTTCACTATTTAATTTGAAACTAATAAGACTTATACTGATCAAAATAAATAAAAATCAACCAAAACATTTACTCAGCTAAATGAATAGCTCATCTTAGCCAATGAACACTGAAAAATATATACGGTATATCTAACTAAATTAACTAATGAGGTCATTTCTATGTAAACCTCATTAATTGCGATTGTCTGCTAACTTCTCAGCTGTGCCATTCGGGCTGCGCCTATATTCATTCGCTACTTGAGTGCTCAATTGTACTAGGCGATTGCGCAATCTTGTATTACTCTGTTGCGCGAAGTATCCGATGAAGAAACCCAGCATACGCGGCTGTTGGATCCTAGAGAAAGAAGAATGTTGAGATCCTTGCGACGTTTTTTCCATTTACATAATAACATTTTCAGTCAACACTTATACCTCGATTTCTTATACCTAATTAATTTAAGAAACAATATTTTTTCATCCCACCACCTCGGAAAGTGTAATTTTGCGCTTCGAAATCTGGCTGGAAAATTCTATTTTATTCGCTTGAGCGGCAAAGTAGATTTGAATTTAGAACATCACATATAATGAGTACTCAATATAATTGTAAATTCAAAACGTCATTAAACCTATTTAATGTAACCTCTATGGTGCCAAATTTATGATTAGAACTTTTTAAATTGTGAAAAAATTTAAATTTGGAACCTTCTTGGTTTCTTTGTTTTATTTGCGTGCTTCGCGCCATTCTAGTTTTTCACGTTTTATTGCTTAAATATTTTGTCATTATAAATTGTTTTCTTTTTCATTTTGTCATTTCCTCGCTGAGGTGGGATGAAAAGTTACGTATTGCACTCGAGTGGAAAGATTTTTCACCTTGTGCTCGTTTGTTTCCCTCGCTGACGCTCAGGATTCTAATTTAGAATCACTCGCTGCGCTCGTGATTCAACTTTAGAATCCTTCGCTTGCTCGGTCATCCAAATCGAGCACGCGGTTAAAAAGGAACTTTCCACTCTTGTATAATAAATAACTATTATTTTAGAAAGTTTGCTTTTGTAGCTATCAGTATGAAATTTTAAATTTCATAGATAATTGCAATATTTTTTTCTTTGAGTTATATACCAAAAAAATAAACATTTAATTAAATCTCTTCTATTTACTTGTTGAAGACAATAAAAGCAAGTCTATGAATACTAAAAAGATATTTGTCAATCCACAATTCCTAAGTTTAAACTCAGTGCTAACTTTGCTGACTTAACACTTGTACTTCGCTGATCACTGTATTATTTCATTATTATTACTTTAAATTTAATCTACACCTATAAAGATTTCTTTAGATCAGTGTTTCTTTACCGTGGTCCCTGGAAACACCCGAAGTGGTCCAAAAAATATTACTACATAAGTATTGTCGCTGATTGATTTACTAATTCTAAGGTGGGGGAGGAGGGTACAAACCGTAAGTGGTGGTCCGTGGTAAGACGGAAATTTTGACAAATGGTCCCTCGTCACTAAAAGGTTAAGAACAACTGGATTAGATGTATTATTTATTCCCTTTCCACTTATTTAAAATTTAAATTTATAAAATTTCTAATATTGTAAATCTATCTTCTGCAAGAAAAACGTTTAAAAAAGTTTAAGTAAACTAGAAGTAACTTATAAATCCTTAAAAAAATGCAATCTAGAAAATTATGTACAAGCTATTTTTAAGTAATGCTATAGGAAACGTGTTCTTAGGTAAAGGAATTTCCTAACGAAATGTGACAAACAATAATTACACAATATTATCTTATTAACCTTAACAATGTGAAGTTTGTTTTTAAAATTTGTGAAGAATAGTCAATAGAGATGAACGAACTGAATTGTCCTCAGCCGTCTTTCATAAAGATCGAATTAGATAACTGGTCAATCACTCAATAAGTATGAGGAGAGCACTGCAATGTTTTATTGTACAGCACGGTTTACAAATCTCAACGGTCCTGAAGTTGGCTATTCGGTGCGCAGTAGAAATTTTACTCTCAAAATTTCAATGTACACTTTTATCACACGTACGTAGCTAAGATGCAAATATTAAGAATTAAGATCTATGTGTAGAATTACAATAATGGACAAATAGAGACATAAATACCTTAGCACGCAAATAGAGAATAATTGGAGGGATTTTATGGCAGGGCTCTGATCATAGCTGAATTTCCCGAACTGCTGTGCTATTCTGTAAGAACAAACTCACATTTCACCGCCGAATTTGCCAAAGTGATTTGTTTATTTAAAGTTCGTGTTCGAAATTCTAATTCTAAGTCACACCGCGTATTTCGAAGTGAAAAGTGAGTTTTTTTTACAGAATAGCACTGCAGATCCAATTATAGCATTGAAGCTTTGATCACTTCAGTGCCATCTGTCACAATAAAATTGTACGTGAGGCCGATGTCAGGTCGTAACATGGAAATAATTTATCATTTGAAATTCTTAAATATGAGTTAGCTTAGTAGGAAAATATAATAGGTAAGTACTTATTTACCGTACAAACAGTTCACGTTTCTTGTTTCCTAATATGGGTTTCCCCGAAGAATTTATAGCAATGGTTCTTGTTTAATATTGAGAAAAAAGAATACATCTTTGGTTACAATGACAATTTAATATAAATAGCTTAAAATTAAATTCAGAATCTAGCTATTATGTTTTAATACATAATTGTTGTTGCCAAAACGTTTACTTTATCATAACAAATGGCCATTCACACGATATATAAACAATTTGCAGGATGAATAAAGGTTGCAACAATGACATAAGAAATTATTATTTGTATTATAATTAAACGATAGCACGTATCGTTTGCATTATATAAAATGTTATGACTTACAAATTTATTTATATAGTAGGTAATTATATTATTCATGTATGACATTAATGCGTTCTTACATATTTAACCTAAGTATGGAAAACTCTAAAGAAAATGTTACTAGAAAAAATGCCACGAGGCCCAGGCATCATACAGAATATAATATACTTATACTAGCTGTCCCAGCGAACTTCGTACTGCCATAAAAAAAATGGGTGCGTGTACTTATGTAGGCGCGTGAGAAGTTATCCTTCTTTGGCATCGTTTAAAATTAGTTTTTAATTGCATGCAAATAATTAATTACAATAAATTAATAAAAAGTCTGGAAAAGGACACAGTCAATAAAGTTCAGTTTTAATTTGAAAAAATAAATTAATAATCAAAATATTCAATTAAAATCGCTACTGAATATAATTTATTAGAACATATGTGATTTGCACTTGTATGAAACTCAAACACGTATACCGAATATACAAACTAGAAACATGTGGATAAATATTATAAATATGAATACCTATTACTGTTACTTTATTACAAAAAATAAAGATGTGGTTTTTGGTTCTACTACACCAATGGTCAAGAGCTGGCGCTGTAGTCTCCTGAATCGCGCTTTGGTTCCGTTGTTCCAGATTAATAAATACTTTTTGTTACTTTATTACAAAAAATAAAGATGTGGTTTTTGGTTCTACTACACCAATGGTCAAGAGATGGCGCTGTAGTCTCCTGAATCGCGCTTTGGTTCCGTTGTTCCAGATTAATAAATACTTATGATAGGCCTTCACAATGCAGTCGTTAGCACCCACAAAATAGAGATTCTATTTCTATTTTGTTGGTAGATTTTCTTAATGTGCGGTAAACACAAAAGTAACAGCATGAAGTTGGTCGCTAAAGCGACGAGCGTTTTGTGTTACAGTGATGCGCGCGCATCTTAAAATTTCACTCTCATCATTTTTTCATAACGCGCCTAAAGAAGTATAACTTCAAAATGAGGTTAAGGGTAAAAATATAGGGTTGTATGTATTTTTGTATAATGTATCATAAAAAAAATTGTCAAAAAAAAAAAAATTTAAGGGTGGACCACCCTTAACATATAGGGGGATGAAAATTAGATGTTTTCCGATTCTTAGACCTACTGAATATGCATATAAAATTTCACGAAAATCGGTCGAGCCGTTTCGGAGTAGTTCAATTACGCACACCGTGACACGAGAATTTTATATATTAGATATACAGGTTGTCCCACGGTCATGCCACTCGGAGAAAAAGTATATTAAATATTGAATGTACGATATTTACTGACAGAAGACATTACTTTATTTTTGATAATAAGTGGATCTGCATTTAGTTTTTTTTAAATCGCCTGCCAGAACCAGGATTCTAACTCGTGACATGTAAAACAAAACAAACACAAGTGTTTATGATAACCGTCAAAAGGGGCAAGTATGTGTATATGGATAATTTTTTTCCTAAATAACATAGTATTTTTAATACTTGAAAAAACATGAAATTTAATATTTTATTTTAAATAATTGAACACAAACTGTAATAAAAACCAAACGGTGCAAGATATTTTTCTTATTTAATTTATCAAATGTTTAAAATGTTATCCATTCTGTAGTATACAAATTCTCACTCTTTTAATAATTATCTGCCTGTCGATTTAAATAATATGTCTAAGTTCATTTTGTAACTATGGATCTGGAT